CATCGGGTTACATATGCAGTACTTCTATAAATGGCACAAGTCATTTCTTCAACCCATGTCAAATCTTTAAATGGTTCAGGTAGTACACCTCGAAATAGATTATTTGCTAAAGAAAACTTTGGAAGCTTATTTTTTTTTAAATCAGAAATACATTCATGGCAAAATATGATACTTTCAATGTTTCCAGTAACATCAAAAGTGAAACCATTTGAATCTAGCATAAGTCCAACTAAACTTTCAATAGGCCATTGAAAATAACTCCGAAATTCTTCTTTTGTTACAGCTAGTAAATCTAAATGCAAATCTTTCTGAAAATCACAGTTTTCACTCAATTTTACAACACTCATGTCAACATCAAACCGTTTTCGTGAACAGCAACAACATGTATCAGGTTGGCGTAAATTTGTTTGTTGCATGTAACTATTTGTACAATGTTGTATGACATCATCAGGGATATTTGGAGGCCAAGTCAATTTTAAGCTTTTATTGAACGCAAGTTCCTCATTCATTCTTGATTCCTTTTTTAATAATCTCTCTTTCTTTCGTTTCTTTTGTAATTGCTTTCCAGGAATTGACAATGATAGCTGTTCAAGAATATTCGAGCTATACTCATGTTTTAAAATCTTATATACAAGGTCAAGTCCTGATTGAGTTTCAAGATATGAAATTTGGTAGCAGTCTAAAGTAGAATAGATATCACTTTGATTCATAAATTGGATGTTATAACACCTATTTTGGAGACTTTGCCGCAGTGTATTATATATGTTACCATTGAAGTAAGCTAAAGATTTATCATATTTTCTGCAAGGGTGCATAGTGTTGAAAACTTTCTTAATATCTCCATAATCAATGTCTTTCAAACAGATATAGAATTCTTCTTCAGTATGGCAAACATAGCTCTTTAAGTTATATTTATAAGGGCAATAACATTGAAATTCATCTTGATTTGGTGGTGTCATTAATGATAGAAGTATTTCATTACCAAATGATTGTTTGAAGAACTCAAACATCATTTTTTTCCTGTCAGCAATCCCAACAGATATATGTAATCTTTTACAGAGATTTTCATCTGAGACATTACTAACACTGGCTACAACTTTGAGAAATTCGTTAACAATTGTAACACAGGCTTCCTTTTTTGTTACATGGCTGTATTTGAAATGATACTTTTGTAAGAACTTTGACAATGTTGCTATAGGCAGAAGTTGAAGTGAAGATATGTAGTGATCTTCAGTGAATGAGAACCATAGTGGATTTTTATATTTCTCTTTGTTATTGTTATTTAAGTCAATGTCACCTTGTTGAAATTTCGACAGATACATACGCGGATGAAATGAAGCACTTGCAACTGTATTGCTAGACAACCATTGGTGTTTATTTTCAGTTAAATTAAGTATCAAGAAACCATTATTTAAGCTTGTCGATTCAATCTTGCACTTTTTACCACTCAAAGAAAATTCATGTTGAAATAAAGACGACATCCATTGTGTTATCTGAGCTTGTGATTGAAATAATGCAGCATATGATTGAGGATTGTACAGAACTTCATATGGATGAGTGGTAGGAAAGTTAATATTCGCATCGGTGACATCTTCATCATCCATTCGAGTACACTTGCATGGTTCCTTGACTAACAACATCATAATTCAAGTATGTGGTAATGCACAAAGTTTAGTGTGCTAGAGCACAAATTTTAACGTGCTGGGGCACAAATTTTAACGTGCTATGGCACGAGTTTGAGTAGTCGATGTGTTTTGCAGCCAGCACGCAAAGCAAATGGGTGCGAATCAGTGAGACAGTGTTGACGAAGACGACGATGACAGAGTCGAAACCTTTTTTTTTTTTTCAAACTCCGACGTTATTCTCTACCGACGTCGGCAGTCGTGACTCGCAGACGCCATCTCCAAGTGACATTGTGGTGTTGGTGCCAGCAAACAGTTGCAACAGTTGCAACATCAATATGCTGCTTAATAGTGTCAGCTCTAGCATCCTACCTCAACCTTGCAGCAGACAACGACATCCACGACGATGACAGTCCCATTGCAGTCGGGTAATGAGCAGTCAAGTAATGTATCGGATCTGGCATTCGCATAGCCAAACCGATAATCTGGCAGTCGCGTAGCTAAACATGACATATCTTAACTGTCGTCCTCGTGGAAGTCTGGTCTGCGAGAAGGTTTATTGTCGTTATGATTGTACATCGGACCTATTGTTTGCCATACGAAGAGCCAAAAGGCTGCGATTCACGACTGTCGACGTTCGTACAGAATAACATCGTCGTAGCTATCTATCAAACACAAACTCGAAGCATGATTATCACCCACTAAATAAAAAATAAAAAAAGAGTCGGGGACTGGGCAGGCTCGCCCGCCGCTAAAGCATCTATAACAGGAACAATGTCTGACGCGATAAATATGTCCTCATCATCACCCTCAATGAGCCATATACCTCTCCTGCCTAACGTACCGTTCGCGGGACGTCCACGGATGAATTTGCACTTTGATCTTCCGACCTTCTTCCATTGTTTGGCATCACATGGACAGATGAATTTGCACTGTGACTTTGCCTTTCCCATCATCCGTCATGTAATAACGCGACATTGCGAGAGTCATAAGTAGCTTTGGTATGTATCTTTACAAAGTAATTACTGCTGCCATAGCGCTGAAAATAGACCAGCCTGTACTCATATTGGAGAGAGAAGGGCTACCGATTGTTATATATGCCCGCCTCACCACTTCCTCGAAGGATGGATCAACCCACCGCATTGCTTCATCACGGGAGACCGGGATTGTGTTACGAAGGGCATCGACGGCGTCTTGAGGTACCTCAATGCGGCAGTCCTCGGCAGGTGCTTGAGGAACCATGAACGCATGCTGAGGTGTCTGGCCCGACATGTTTGGTTTTGTGCTCTGGTACCGTATTTTGTGATTGTTCCAATATTCAACAAACTTGTTGAGCTGATGTTGAAGAATTTGCGGCCAGATCCAGTTAAATAGCTGTCTGCGTATCTGGTGTTTAACTTGTCGAGTGCGACAACATGAATGAAACAACGCACGGGTGAATAGGATTGCCAGGATTATATACGCCGGTGACTTTCCCTTGTTGGATGACTTCCTTGATGTCAATGCCAAACAAGGTGACAAACCAATGCCATAACCCCTCGATCGGCGTGTTATGAACACTTCGGACATGTTGGGCTGGAGGAAACTGGTCGCTGTCGATATCAGGAGCATAGGTCTCCCTAATGGAAATAGAGAGTTTGTAAGAACGAGAAATCAAACAATATGTGGAAATTACCTGAGCCCAGTTTGATGGGCATAAATGTAGCCAGTCTCTGAGCCTTTATCCACGATGAAAGTAATACAAACCGCTTTAAGGATGCAGCGCCATCAGCATATTGATTGAACTTATGACAATTGGTAATTACCCCCGTATTTCTTTACACAGTCCAGATAGACATGTCCAATAGTGGAGGCAAGCCGATTGTTGGGAAGAACGACAAGATGAAGGAGAAAGGAACTCCACTGATCCTTTATACCGTAGATATTAAGACCAACTCCACCCATACCCAAGGCCTGCGCGTTCAGTTTTTCGTGGCCATCGGCATGATGTTGGTGATTAGGACCAATTGCAACAAGAGCTGACCTTCGAACTCGATTTGCACCGGGGAATCAATGAGATAATCCATCTGGGGCATATGTTGAAAGGGTTTTGCGAATAAAATCTCTGAATAAGGGTTTCGTGAACAATTACAACCGACTGCAAGAAAAATTTACCGAGGAAGCAACATCCCCTCGTTGCTGAGTAGAGTGGAGATGGTACCCACTCCTCGTGTCTGTGCGGTATCCTCCGCTACCATTTCCAGTACAGCCTGAGTTGCTATGTCTGTTGGGGGAGGTTTTCGCACATTTGGCACGCCAAATTTGAGATTTAGCTCGGCAAGGCGAGACTTTCTGTGACATGAACGATGAGTCAAAAGTATGATGCGGACAAGAACGAAGCGTGTTTACTTGATGTTGAGCCCATGTTCAGCGGTTAGCCTTTCAAGGCGTTGAGCATTAGTGAGGCGCTCCTTTGCGTATTGATGGAGGGATGCAGAGAGAATATTGTCTGGCGGATCTAAGTGGGTACAAAATGAAGATCAGCGAAGCCATGAGTCATATGGTCTGTCAAACATACAGTCTTTCTTGCTGTAACCGTTAATGCCAGTTGGATTGTTCGGCATAACCGTTGGATATCAGAATGGGATTTGGGAGGATGGTGTGCGTCCATTCTGCAGAGGGGCTTTTAAAGGTCAATTTAGGGGTCTAAACTGATAAAGCACTCATACGATAACAAGGCAGCTCATACGATAACAAGGCAACAGGTAATTCATTTCGAAGAGGTGGATACTTGTGCGAAGAATGCAGTCCCGAAGATGAAATTCTACAGACTACCGTAAATTACTCCTTCCCGTAGACAAAAATGTAAGGCAGCAGGAGTGAGCGTTTACTCTTTATCCAACTGATCTAACTCATCCTCATCCTCGCCTTCACCTTCCGAGCGGCTTTTAGTTGTTACGCTCTTGCCAAAAGAAGTGAGGTTGAGCCCCTTGCACACATAATTACACGTATGCTGTTCCAAGAAAGATTCGATCCCCGTCGGTCCATGGTCTCCAATACCAGAATCACTGTGGCAGATTAGCATTAAGAGTAAGAAGAAAAATGATATTACATATGAAGTATGAGAATGTGACATAACGTCAAAGAGAACAAGGGTATCACGGCCATTAATATTCATAGGGGAGCCTAGAGTGTAGAATGGGTAATCTGGGCTGAAAACTCAGCGCATGAGGTACTTGCCTTGGATATCTGCAAAAACAAGTTGTTTCTGGCTGAATTCATAGGAGAAGTGGGCAAACGCTACAAGCGTTATTCCGACCTTGTCTGTATGACTGGGATGAATCAGAGTTCCACTGAATTTCACGACCGATTTTGTGCGGCGAGGCTCAACAAGCCAGGTTGCAGAATCCGTCTCGAAGGCCGGAAGACCTGAGGCAATAGACGGTTCACCAACCTCCTTTACCAAAAAGCCTTCAGAAACTACAATGTCTGAGTAACAAAATAAATAAAGCATAATGCGGATACCGAAAGACCTTTACCATTTGCAATCTCTACACTATTCGCCTTTGCATGTTCCTTGAATTTGTTGAGCATCCAGAACGCAGTCTTCAAGCGTACAAGCTCGCTTCTCAAATGTTCCTCGTTCTCAGCGGGCGTAATCTCACTATCGGAACCAATTTCGAAGAACCTCTTAGCGATGAAAAGCTCTGTGCCCATCGAAAGCTAGAAGACGAGACTCAGTCGTAGTCACACAGACAATTAAGCTCACGTCACTCACTTGGTAAACGTTCTTGGTACTTCCAGAAGCCAGGACCTCCTTCCCTAGAAATCCATCTATGGGTTCTGCATTCTCAAGCCAAACAATTTCGACTTGCCCAGTTTTCGAATCACAAGTGGCATACGCTTTGATGAGCTGTACAGGCGCAGACACATTTGTGGAGGTAGACCGAGGTGTGGGGACCCAGCATGAGAGTAGAGAGCCTAGGGTTGATGTATTAGGACAAGATTCTACTGCCAAATCAAGGTATACTGACCACCTGCATGGCGCTTTTGCTGGGGGATGTCTTCACCAGTAAGCGATGTAGCTGTGGCACTGCGCTTTCGCACAGAAATAGACTTTGATATGTCAGGTGAACCGCCGCCATCATTGCGCCGCTGGATAAACTTAAAACTAGAGTTAGCAGATTTACTTAGTAGGACAAAAAAGATGTACCCGTGGTTTATCGATGTAAAGCTCGAGCGCCATAAAATATTGGTTTTTCGGCACAGTAGATTTCTTCGACCTGGCCTCATTAGACGCATAATAGAGGCCCATGTCGCCAGTCATATAGGCATTATACACATTTCCCACCTGGTCATTGACAGTACCAGGCAAGAAACGTTTATTGCCCGCCCAACGGAATTCAACCTCGTCCCTAATGAAGTGAGAAATTAATTTACGGTGACAAGGAAGGTCCACTTACCGTGTAAGTTCCATCCCATAGCGCCTGGACCAATGTGAGTTTAACGTCACAAGTGAGTCATCAAGAACCTCTATAAACGATAGAATAAGCAATCGCTCCGTAAACTTGGCTAGACGCATTACCTGTGAGGTAGTCTTCCTTTGACCATGGCTTGCCCCAGCGACCGCAGTCAGCGTCGGTTGAGTTTTGCTCTCGTTTCTGGTTGCTCTTGATGCGGCATTCGACTGTGATGAAAACCTTGTTTTCGCCAGTTGGAGTGTTGTTGACTCGGGCAGTCGACAGTCCAGCGGTTGTATGAATGGCTGGAGGGTTCGGTGCGGGCTGTTTATTCAAACGTGCATCGAAGGCTTGCGCTCGAGCGAGTCGTGAGGTGGTAACAGCAGTCTGGATAAGGTCGGCTGCTTCTGTAAAGGATTAACATGTTACATCATCAACATCACTCAGCAAACGTGGCCGGCCAATCTGGAAATGCTTACGGGGGTTTGGACCACTACCAGTTATTGTTTTGGCCAGTAGGCCAGCGCACCGTCCACAAGTGGGACTCACGAGATTCTTCCACGCAAGTCCACAGCTATCGCACTGTCTCGTTTTCTGTGATCGTGTTCAGAACAGTGCCAGTGATTATACGAAATAAGACCTACGCTCCAAGTGACATACTCCTCAGAGTCAGGCTTTAGTGTAGCGAGTTTTTGGCACTTCGCGCAAAGTCCAGGTGAAGTCTTGAAGGGGAAGGAGCCTCCGCAGCCATCACCCGAATTTGATGTACAAAGGTCGACATCCATAGCAGTCGACTGAGACAGACGCAATGCAAAAGCTTTAGTGGGGCAGATAGAGATGGAGTTGGGGTTGGAGTTGGAAATGCCGGCAGAATTTATACGGCTTTCATGCAGGGTGAAGCGGCGCACTAGACGAACAGTGAGCATTCACAATTGTTCTTCTGTGAATCTCGAAACTCACCTCAAGAATTCCATCTCTGGTCTCGACGGTCTCTATTTGTTCTAAGAAAAGAATTTGGAAACATACTTACACTCAACGGGAAGATAGGTAACACGATGTCCGACCATTCTGAATACATGTCATTACTGGGTAGTGCTACTGACGGCGCAAGCACCAAATGGTACATTCTGCAGAGCAGTATGGATATGATCCTTTATTGAGGACGCCTTCCATAAGGTTGGCTGCTTGAGCGGCCACCTCACGGACGACAAGGTGCGAGCAACCTCCGAAGCGCGGGTGTGTGTTGTCCGGTAGAATCTCTTGACTTTCAAGCGCGAAGGCGTGGATACATGGTGGAACCCTGTGGCCCCGACCCCACCCTTTAAGAACCAAATATATCAGATCAATTGTTGGTGAGGATCTCAAGAAGAACATACCTATTCCATTGAAGGCTGTTAGACATACATGTCTAACTTCTTGTGCTACCTCTGTCATGCATCCCCGGCATCTGCAGCATCTAGTAAGAACATGAAGTGAGTGACGGCCGTGGACAAATCACCGAACTTCAACGATACGGAATGTCTATGACAAGCAATGAGTAAAGTGATGTATTAGAAGTGGTGGTTCAACTCACGAAGGCTACAACCAATGCCCCAATTCTCGTCACATCCTCGGAGGCTGCAATACGGCCTAGTCGCTTTCGCGTGTGGTGTTGGTTGTGGGATGATCTTCTCAGAATGCGGCGTGTCACGGTTGGCGGTGTGCTTGGTATCAGGTATGCAAGCGTTCACATGCTCACGTGGATGTGTGGATGTGTGATGCTAAACAGTGAGAAGATCAAAATGCAAATGAACCGTGGACATCCCGCCAACCTTACGCTTGAATTCCACATGCCGCCGTCGAGCACGGATTTAAGAGTGAGACGCCTGTATTCTTGCGGTTATGGTACTAATTCCTCTTGTTGAAGCAATGGCCGACGAGTGCACGAGCAGCGCCAAGGGCGATGGTGACGACGAGCTCCTGGTGATGGTCAAGATCAAGATCAACGCTTGCAGCATTGCCCAGTGCCGATTGTTTATTCGCATTAACAATTCTACCTCAATTCGACATACTTAAGTATCACCCTCTCGCAAACCTCACAACTTCCTCGAATGTCCTTCTCCTATTCAACGGTCACCAGGTCTCTTTGGCCGCCCAGATTCTCCACTCCCAGAAGATTCCCTCCCCCGAACCGGAGAAAGCATCACGCCCCAGCCGCTCAATCCTCCCTCGATCGACGGCACAACCAAATACATGACCCACGACGGCTCAGCCTCCTGGCATTCAACATTCAACCCACTCGCTCCTACCCCTCCTGGTCAACATCGGCTCCTCGTCCTCCACTGCGCCTGTACCCTGCCTCTACGCAAAACCCCCAAAACCGCGTTGACCACCCAACACCGGCTCAACGTGCGCAAATTCCAAAATCATCTCCACGCGTTAGTCTTCCGGTCCTTTGAACCCTTGCAACAGCGGATCCTCGATCTGGGGGATAAACGTCGACTCTTCGGATTTACGATGCCTTGGTGTGCGGTGAGGGGGAAGGGAAAGATGACGATCAGTATGCTGTATGCATTTGAGCTGCGTATCGTGGTGTCAGGATCCTGGTGGCAATATACTACGTGAGGCTGCTCATACGTGGTAGGTTGCGAAGGGAGGCGAAAAAGCCGTGTCAGGGCAAAGATGGTGTGCATGAGCGTCACGGAGATGGTCTAGGCTTTCGAGAGGTCGATGTGAGGGACGCAAGTGGGCTGGATGGGCTGCGCCGTAGTTTTGCCAGACAACTCTTGGATCCTCAGCTTGGATTCGGTCGGGGTGACTTTTGTTCATGGATGTACGACCTAATCGGAACAAGAGAAGGTCAGGGCTACAACAAAAGGAGCTATTGATGAATGTTACCCACCTTCAAATTGAGATTCGTGTCTGCATTTCACGGAGGTAAAGGTAACGTCCAAGTATTTTTTCGAAGTTGTGGTGGACTAGAACAAAAATAAAGATTAACTGCTTGATGTGGCGTGAGGGTATTGTGCATACCCTGCGGTTTACATGCCTGAGCTGCGTTGGCCGGAGGGTTATGTGCCGCTCGCAGTCCATTGTTACATGCTTGGACGGAAATGGAAACCGAACGGTTTGTGGGAACGAAACGTCGGGGAATTACTGCAACAACGTCAACATGTAGTAGTATTTAACGACAGAATTAACTGTTGCACTCACCTCTGCCCCGACATACGACTCTCAACTCGATGTTTATGCATCAAGCTGCGTAAATAAACCACAATGAGGGATCTAGTGAGGGAGACACCAACGATCGTGGAGTTCTGGTATGCCGTAAGCCGTACAGGGTAGTTTTGAGATACCAGTCGTTGTTGGAGGAGTAGCGAATGGAGTTCGTGCAGATGGGCGGGTCTTTGGAAACCGCGGCTCGACAGCAGTGTGTCGGGAAGTATGATAACGGGGTCTTTTGATCTTGTAAGAAGCAAGAAAGTTTCAGAAACACCTAGAGTGTCGTTGAGTCAGTAAAGTGAACGACAAGATACGAAGGCAAAGC